TTACGCCTGCCCAACTTTCCGTAAATTAAATGCTGCTGCCCGGTTTGCATTGGTCAAGAAACATAATGCTTGTCTCAACTGTCTGAGCAAAGGCCACTTTCAAGCAAAATGTCGCAGTTTATCAACTTGTAACATATGCCGTCGTCGTCATCATACATTACTACACGGCTGCCGCGAAGATGACACGACCAGCGATGAGCTGAATGTACACGCTTCTCCGTTTGTAAAGCAGCAAGGCAATCTACATGTGCAACAATCGACTACTTCATCTACAATCGATGACTCTACTACGGCGCGTATACATAATGCTAGCTCGGATGTACCGCATTCTGGTTGCGTAGCATCTCACGTCGCTGAAGCTGACAAGGCCATTTTATTGGCAACCGCAGAAATATATTTGCAAGATCATGCAGGGCGATGGCAACCTGCTCGGGTGTTGTTTGACAACGGCTCACATGCATCCTTCGTGACAGATGCCTGTATTCAACGCCTCCGTCTACAAAGGAAACCTTCGGCAGCTCATGTCACAGGTATTGGTTCAACAGATGGCGGTAAAGTTAAGGGTGAGACTATTCTTTCACTTGCGCCCCGATCTCTTGACCAGCATTTCACAATCAACTCGCTTATTTTATCGAAGATTACAAACGATCTTCCCAGCGTTTGTGTACAGATGTCGTCTTGGCCGCACTTACGAAATCTCGCTCTTGCTGATCAGCATTATGCCAAACCTGGTCCTATTGATGTGTTAATAGGGATGGATGAGATGGATAAATTCCTGTTAACCGGTCTCTGCAAAGGGCCACCTGACACACCCAAGGCGCAAAACACAGTTTTCGGTTGGGTACTTTTCGGAAAGGCCATGCGTTCATCCAGCCCAAGTGCGGGAGTTTTATCCCTGCACTGTGATGTGCAACTCATCCGAATGGTGAGTAAGTTTTGGGAGCTCGAAGAGTTTCCCCCCAAGCGATACTTAACTGTCGAAGAGGAGGCTTGTGAAGGGCATTTTCGCAAGCATTGTCGCCGCGCTGAAGACGGGCGTTACATCGTACGCCTACCGTTAAAGGAATCCGTGCCTTTAGGTGAGTCGAGAAACATATCCGTAAGAAGTCTGCTAAGAATGGAAAAACGTTTCGCTGTTGATGAGGAGCTACGCCGTCAATACGCAGAATTTATGCAGGAGCTTTTAAATATGGGCCACATGGAGCTCGTAGGCAACGCTCAACCGCATAAAAGTTACTACATGCCACACCACGCTGTAGTAAAGAACACCAGCTCCACCACTAAACTGAGAGTGGTGTTCAACGCCTCATGTAAAACCACATCCGGTTTCTCGCTCAACGATGCACTAATGATAGGCCCGCAATTACAAGAGGATCTGTTTTCTATAATGGTGCGGTTCATCGTTACGCAATAATGGCCGATGTCGAAAAAATGTATCGACAGGTATACGTGGCAGAACAAGATGTGGACTACCAACGCATAGTTTGGCGTGACGACCCAACCGAACCTATCCGGGACTATCGCATGCTTCGTGTAACCTACGGCGTCGCCGCAGCTTCCCACTTGGCCGTACGATCTCTGCACCAATCCGCTTTGGATGCCATCGAAACGCACAAAGAAGCAACTGTTGTCATCATGCGCGACTTCTACATGGATGATCATCTCACAGGCTCATTTTCTGTCGACAACCTCATGAATCTACGAAATGACGTTACCATAGTTCTGTCTAACGCTGGCTTCGAATTACGGAAGTGGGCTACAAATTGCGACGAGCTTAGGGAGAAAATACCGCATGCGTCAAAGCAAATTTCACATCTGTTAGCTGACGGCGATGAAGTACGCACCCTAGGAATCATTTGGAACACAAGCGACGATTGTTTATCGATTGCAGTGAATTTGACCCCACTGCCTGCAATTCTCACGAAAAGAGTTTTTCTCTCAGATTCGAGTAAAGTTTTCGACCCACTCGGGCTAATCGCGCCGTGCACTATACTCTCGAAAATTTGGCTCCAGCGAATCTGGCGAGCGGACGTTGATTGGGATGAACCGGTGCCCGCCGATGTCGCTGAAGAGTGGCTCTCTCACCGTCAGCAACTACCTAAACTCACGGCTCTTAAGCTAAATCGTTGGATTGGTACCAGTGAAATCGTCGAGCATGCTGAATACCACGTTTTCACGGATGCATCTCAACGTGCCTACGCTGCGGTACTCTACTGCCGCACGCAACTACCCGATGGAACTTTTAAGGTCGTTCCAGTCGCCGCGCGCGCGAAGGTCGCACCTTTAAAAAGTACTACTCTCCCACGTCTGGAATTGTGCGCAGCGCATTTAGGCGCCAAGCTTGTCAAGCAGGTTCAGTTGAGTTTCGGTTGCAATATGAAAAATTTATACGCGTGGACCGACTCAACTATAACGCTAGCTTGGTTACAGAGTCACCCAAGTCGATGGTCAGTCTTCGTTGCGAATCGCGTAGCCGCAGTACAAGAAGTTCTAGCTCCTGAGTGCTGGAGACACGTCCGCTCAGAGCACAATCCAGCTGACTGCGCGTCTAGAGGCTTGGCTCCGTCGAATCTACTCGCCCATTATCTTTGGTGGCAAGGGCCAAGTTGGTTAGCTGAAAATGTCGATCAGTGGCAGCATCAAGCAACAGAAGATTTGGAGTTGCTGACAAGGCGTAACTCGAATATAAGTTCCGAATTACGAGCGACCAAATCCGCATCACACCTCACCCAAACTGCAGAAGATTGGGAACTATTGTCAAGGTATCATTCGTATATTAAACTCAAGAGAATTACGGCCTATGCTCTACGTTTCGTCAACAACTTAAGAACAACTAGCAGTCAACGCAGTACTGGCGCCCTCACCAGCAGTGAAATTCTCCACGCTGAAAATGCACTGGTAAAGTATATCCAAACTAACGCTTTTCCAAAGGAAATTACTTGTTGCAGGTTAACCAAACAAATACCATTACGAAGTCGTCTAATCCGCCTTCAACCATTTTTGGATGTTGATGGCATTCTCCGTGTTGGCGGACGAATAAAACGAGCTTCTGTCTCCACCGACGTCAAGCACCCGATAATCTTACCGAAGAACTCGTCGCTGGCGAAACTCATAATATCCGATATTCACCGCAGTACGCTCCACGCCGGCCCGCAAATCATGCAAACAGTTCTACAACGTCGCTTTTGGGTTCTGGGTTCTCGTAATCTTGTTCGCGCAATCTACCACAAATGTGTAAAATGTAAACGCATTAACCGCCGACCGTTGGGTCAAGTAATGTCGGATCTACCAAGCAGCCGCCTTACGAGTTCTCGATGTTTTCTGCACAGCGCCGTCGACTTTGCGGGACCCTATTTTATAAAGTTTTCACGAGGCAGAGGAGCCAAATCATGCAAGGCGTATATATGCAGTTTCATATGCATGAGTACTGGTGCAATGCACCTCGAGCTCGTTGGAGATCTCTCTTCACCTGCGTTTGTCGCCGCTCTCTCTAGATTTGTAAACAGAAGAGGTTATTGTCAGCATGTATACTCGGACAACGGCACTAATTTCGTTGGTGCCGAAAGAGAGTTATACGCCGCCTACCGCCGTTGCGTGAGAGATGAAAAGCTTACCTCGTATTTGGCGAACATGCAAATAACATGGCACTTTAATCCGCCAAGCGCACCACATATGGGTGGTTATTGGGAGGTAGGGGTGAAGCGAGTAAAATACCACTTAAAGCGTGCTCTCGGTAGCTCTTTATTAACATACGAAGAACTTGCTACGCTTTTAACGGAGGTGGAAGCTTGTGTCAACTCGCGACCGCTCTATTGGCACTCTGCTAGTGCTGATGATTTGGAAATCCTCACTCCTGGTCATTTCTTGATTGGTGAGCCAATCAAGGCGCTGCCTGAACCTGACACCGAAAATTTCTCAGGGACGTTACATCAACGATGGCAAGCCATTAGTGCAATGCGGCAACATTTTTGGTCACGTTGGCGAAACGAATATGTCGTCAACCTACAACAACGTGTTAAATGGTTTCGCCCCTCCTCGAACCTGAAAGAAGATGACGTTGTCATCATTCACGATTCGAATAGCCCACCCACTAAATGGCGACTTGGGCGTGTAACTCAGTGTCATCCTGGTGCGGATGGACTGGTACGCGTAGTAAAGCTGAAGACGGCGGATGGAGAATTGGTGCGGCCTATTGCGAAACTGACGCTTTTGCCAACGCA